GCACAAATGCTGGAACAGCCCTCGTCGCTGATCCATGCTGCACGGCGGCCGCGCGACAACTGCTGGTTTGAACGGTTTGAAATCGCCGCGCCGGGGCCGGACGGCGACCGCTGATTGGTCCGCCAAGTCTGACGTCACGGGCGCAGCTGACCATGTGTATGCTGACCAGCTGACCAGTACAAGTTAGGCGCCGGTTAAATAACCATGCGGCAACAAGTTTCCAAAACTGGTTAAGAAACAAACGTTGAAACAAGTGTAGAGTTGGTCTGGATACTGAGAAGTTGGTGTGCATAGTAACTATTGACTCGTAGATGTCATCTGACAAGCAATGCACCAGACAACGGCTTGTTTGAAAAGTATCAGTTGGTAAACATACCAAGAGATGATTGGTTATATTACACAAGACTTGTCAATTTGGTTTACAGTGTGGTACACTGTAAACCAAATTGACAAGTCTTGTGTAATATAACCAATCATCTCTTGGTATGTTTACCAACTGATACTTTTTAAACAAGCCGTTGTCTGGTGCATTGCTTGTCAGGTGACAATTACGAGTCAATAGTTACTATGCACACCAACTTCTCAGTATCCAGACCAACTCTACATTTGTTTCAACGTTTGTTTCTTAACCAGTTTTGGAAACTTGTTGCCGCATGGTTATTTAACCGGCGCCTAACTTGTAATGGTCAGCTGGTCAGCATACACATGGTCAGCTACGCCGGTGACGTCAGACTTGGCGGACCAATCAGCGGTCGCCGCCGGCCGTTAGCGGGCCCCGGCGCGGCGGTCGCGCGGCCGCCGTGCAGCCTGGAGCAGCGACGAGGGCTGTTCCAGCATTTGTGCAGTAAAAAGTGAAATCTGTGAACTGTGGTGTTCGTGCTGTGAGTGAGGCCCCCTCTGGCCTGCGGGACGCACTAATCGTGCCTATACAGATACAGATACAGATACAGATAATATATTCATGACAAATCCATGGTGCATGGTTTTTCATTGGCACACGTCAAACATTTACAACACAAGTAAAAGACCAGGCATAAAAAGCAGCACTCAACCACTCGACCTGAGCTAACCATGCGCCTCACACTGTTCTTTCAATAGATGCTTTTTGAGCTGGCGCCGAAAGTTTCGCACGGTGACGTCAAACGGCAGAGAGTCGTACTCACGCACTGCGCTATAACAGAGCCGCCGGCGACCGGCTTCCGTGCGGATTCTCGGCAGCGCGTGGTCGGCAGCTCTGCGCGTCTCGTACGAGTGACGCAGGGTGTCACCGATGGTTTGTGCGATCGCTTCCGGCTTTCCAGTCGTAGTGACCCTGTGCACCAAACTGATGCGATGGTACTTAGCAAGGTTAGGGGCATTCAACCACTCCAAGTCGCACAGAACGTCACTGATGTGGTCGTATTTACGACGGCCGCTAATAACTCGAGCACCGAAGTTCAGCAGTTTCTGCACACGATGAATCTGAGTAGCGGTGCACGTACCGTATAGCGAGAAGCAATATCTGATAACGGAGTTCACGAGCGCTTCTACTACCACAGGCAGAGAGGCCTTCGGTATAACGTGCTTGGCGTGCATCAGACCGATTAGGACACCAGTACACTTAGCTGTCACATAATCGATGTGCGACCTGAAGCTGAGATGATTGTCCATGACCACTCCGAGATTTTTGACAACTCTAGAGTCCGGAATAACAGCACCCATGGCAGTCAGTGTGACAGGCGGCAGTCCTCGCAGCATAGCGGGGGTTCCTAGTACAAGGACCTGCGTCTTAGCGGTGTTTAGCTTCATAGTGTTTGCGCAGAACCACTGGAAGAGACACTCTAGCGCCTGCTCCATGCGTTGGATGACCTGTGCCAAGTCACGCTTTTTACCGCTCACAAGAAGTTGAGTATCGTCTGCAAATTGCACGATTGTGACACCGTCAGGCAGGTACAGACACATTTCGTTTGCAAACACCGAATACAACATACAACTTAACGATCCGCCTTGGAACACGCCAATTGTGTTTGACTTGACACTCGACCGCACGTATCCACCGTCACCACTGGCCATCTGCACCTGCTGAGTGTGTCCGCTTAGGTAGTTGCCGAACCACTCGGTATCTACCCCATACAGTGCGAGCTTATCCAGCAGTCTCCCGTGCGGCACAACGTCAAAACATTTGGAGAGGTCCAACAGCACCAGGATCGACACCTCTCCAGCGTCCATCGCCTCCAGCGCACGGTCGGTGATAACGCTGAGTGCCGTCTCGGTGCTGCGGCCGCTGCGGTAGCCATGTTGGGTGGTTGACAGGAGCTGGTTGGCCTCCAAGTACTGCACCAGCTGGCGCTGGACGACCCGCTCAACAACCTTCATTATCGCCGGCAGGATGGAGATCGGGCGAGTGTTTGCTGGCTCCGATGGTCCTTGTCCTTTTGGGATTGGCGTTACCATTGCATGTTTCCAGGGGCCGGGCACGTTGCTGGTCGTCAGGCTGGAGTTGACTATGTCCAACAGGACGTGACCCATGCCCCAAAAGAAGGTGCGGAACATGCTGACGCTGATCCCGTCGTTGCCTGTTGAAGTTGACGGCTTCATGTGTAGCAGGAGCAGGCCGAGCGTGTCCATGTCGATCGGTTGCGGTCTGAACCGGCTCGTCGTGACACGCGGCAGTCTGACCGGCACTGGTACCGTGGGCGGGGGGACGCTGGCAGCTGTGATTGGCCCTATGCTCACATAATAGTCGTTTAGCGCGTCGGGCGTGGCGCTGGGAACCGCCGCCTCTTTCTTGCTGCCGATGATGGGCCGTAGTACCCGCCAGACTTTGCTAGGCCCTGCTTTGGCCAGTTCCCGGTTGATGTGGGCCTGCTGGTCTTTCCGGACAGCCGCGCGGCACAGACGGTTCAGCTCCTTATAGTTCTCTCGGTCGCCACCAGGGCGCAGGGCCTGTCTCCGTCGCGCCATCAGGTCTCTGGTAGGTGCCGAGACCAACAGGCTCCCAGGAGGTCGCTGCTGCACCCTCGTAACGGGTGCCACTGTGTCCAGCTGCCCGAGGAAGATGTCGCAGAACGACTCCCACTTGCTGGCTGTCAGCTGTGTCCGGAACACTGGGCTCCAGTCGATGTTGTTCAGCTGCCGGTTGAAGCTGTCGGCGTCGATCCGGCCGAGTCGCCGGCGCTGTGTGACCGGGCCGGCCACCCTGGTCCTGCCGGTGCACTGCAGCACAGCTCGGGTGTAATCGTGCGGGGTGCCATAGTGGCAGCGCGTGACGCCAGCGCGCAGCAGGTAGTCAGGGCGGCTGACAGCCACGATATCCAGCAGCGAGCCGGCCGGTCGGTAGGTCGGGTGCCGGTTGTTGCTGATTGTCAGTCCGTATGTTGTCAGAAGTTGGCGGAGTCGCTGCCCAGGAGAGTCGGCTGCACACTTGAGCTGACAGCAGTTCAAATCACCAGCGATCACCAGTGTAGCACCAGCGTGGGTGGCTAGCATGTGCTGAACCTGCCCCTCAAAGTCGTCTAAGTCCGCAGTGACCTATACCCGCGGTCGAGACGCCTCCCTTCCCCTGCGCGCGCAATGTAAGTGGGCCAGACCTGTGCATGCACATGTGAGCAGATGTTTTGCGGTCGGTGTTTTTTTTTTACATATAAATACATTTATTTGCCTTTAATTCAACTCTTTGTATTTTTAACTTAACTGATGGACATATATGGGCTGTAAACGCTAATCTGGTTGGCGATCATGATTTATTCGAATTATCTGCGTGATCGTGCATTTGCCATGATTGTTATGGTCAATGTTCAGGAAATATTCGTCATACGGGCATGTTATACTTCTGGCTTGATGCGGTGCACAAAACCATGTTCTTCCACATACGCAGCAGTTCTTGCTTCAAAGACTTATATGCTGACGGTGCACGATAGGTATTACTGGGTATACCTATACCTCATGCATTTACCACATCCATTCGAAAATATGCACTCGGAATTGTTTCCAGTCAATAGTATTAATTACGTGACCGTAATAAATACTAATGATTCCAGAAACTTCCGAATGGATTTGGTGTATGCATTCATTGATTATATGTATAACCCATCAGTATTTCGTTTCTTGTCAGCGCAAGCCTTTGAGCAATAACTGATGCCAGTCATGGTTTTGTGCACCACTTCCAGCCAAAAAATAGCCTGTCCGTTAGAAAATATTTCCTGAATCAGTATCGTGGCAATTGAAAACGAACGCGAATCGTAAGTTCTGAAGGTTATTAACGCAAACAAAGCGATTGTAAGGAAGAACAAGTTCGAGCAGAGCGTTAGTACACTTACTTGTTGACAATTTGTAAGCTAGCGATGCCCAGTCAAAGGCTAGTTCATCAACAAACCAGGGGTTGGTGAGCCGACAAGGAAACGACTATGCCTATCCAGAAGTTGGTAGGTCCACAAGGCCCAGACTAGTACTCAACAAGGTGACGCCTATGCGAATTGGAACCAAACTTGTAGACAAACTGTTAGTTTGTTGGCCAACAAGCCTGGGGTTGGTGAATCGACAAGGTATCGACAAGGTGACGCCTATGCGAATTGGAACCAAACTTGTAGACAAACTGTTAGTTTGCTGGCCAACAAGCTTGGGGTTGGTGAATCGACAAGGTATCGACAAGGTGACGCCTATGCGAATTGGAACCAAACTTGTAACAAGGAGCCAACTTGTAGATTTGGTTTACAGTGTAGGTACGGTTGCGGATGGTGGCAGGCCGCAGCCAGGCGAAGTCAGCGAGGGGACCGGCCGTGCGCGGCCATGTGCGCACGTTAACCTTTGGACTCTAAATTCTGCCATAAGACTGGAATTGCGCAATCGGAGGGTAGAGAGCAGGGTCAATGCAACAAGCTTCGCTTAGCTTTGTCCTGTCCTTGTGAAATCCTCCTATCAAAAAGTTCGGACTAAATTTATAATAAAAAAAAACAGTGTCGGCGCGCTGATTGGTGGGTTTTCCGTCTGAGGTAACGCATCGTGCCTATACGCCGTTTCAGAGTGTCACCTGGCCGACTTCAGCACAGGCGACCAGCTGGAGAAGGTGCCGTTCGTCTTCCTGCCCGAGCGCGGCCAGCTGGTGCACCCGTCGGCCGAGATCACCATGTCTGGTCAGTAGTGCACTCTACAATAACATTTAAATACACTTAATACAATAAAACTTTAAACACTTAATATGTGCAGGGCCAATACATTTTTAGAGTAGGTGTAAAATTGATTAACTCGAGGTCACTGGAAGTTTCGTTGCAATAGGCTCATTTTTGCGCGTCTTATTGGGAAAGCCCGAGAGGGGTCCACCATCTGACCCCATTCCCCTTATGCAGGCAGGTCCGAGGGTAGTTCAGGGCTGAGGCTAGTTAGGTACAGGTCTCGCGGGTTTTAGCGGTAGGTTTTGCACCTAAAAAATTTAGTGTAGGTACTTCAGGCTATATCTTCGTCGTCTTAAGCTTTTAAGTGTTGAAGATGCGATCGACTTGTTGGTTCACAAGCCGGCCATGATCGTGTAAAATGGCTTCATCGTAGATCGAGTAGTTTCTGAGATATAACCGGAAATGTGCAAGTGCAAAACCTACCGCGTAATCTCGCGAGAGCCGTACCTCGTAGTTACTGATACGTCATCCGACGAATCGACTGCAACCATTATTTTGACAATCAGACGAGCGGTTGGGTCAGCTTTGGCGCGCTCACTCTTATGAGGGATAAAAGGGACTAGAATAGTGGCTACTGTAAAATATTGTCATGCTGATGTTCCACGCCCACAGCTTATTGACCTATAAGCAATCGGGACGAGGTAGCTCTTGAAGCGATTCTGAATCTGACGTTGTATTTGTTGATGTTGCTGACGCCACCTTCACTGACATGATAGCTCAAAAAAGCATACTCAGTATCGCCAAAAGCGGGGGGGGGGGGTCGACCCCCCAGTTCTGACGAGTGGGGGGTCGCGAGTCCGCGACCACCGCGACCCCCCGTCGGCGACGCCCTTGCGGCCTCCCCCAACACCCCAGGACGAAGAATCGGTCGCCGCTCCTTCCCTCGCGGTTCAGGACTCGCGCTTCAGCCGGAGTCGTATCCTAAGTTCCGTGCCGCAGTTGATAACAGGTTCACGTGTCCTTCACACATTACGGTTGGGCAGTTTGGCCCGGTAGAGGCCACTTCACTGTTGGGGACGCCTCCTCGCCCGCATGCGCTTAGGAGTGTGAGTCGACGTTAAGGGTCTCTCATGGTCGCCATCGTCGAAGACGTTCCCTTCGTGAGCGCCGCAACGGCCGGGTAAGTCTGTTGCTCATTGCTGGCACTGGCATTAGAGTCGGAAGAATTTCCCGAAAGCACGATACACCCGGCCCCCGCCGAAGTTAGTTGGTAGCACTGCTGCTCCACGGCGTACATTTCCTACCAGCCCATAGGGTTTACATGTTAAATGGCCTGTTTTCGGCGAGCGATATCTCGGTCAACCTTTGAAGGAATCAATGGTTCTTAGTCTCAAATGATAGATCGATGAATTTTCTTTCGACAATTCCTCTACCATTTTTCACGAAACCCAGCCGATCTTCTACGGCGTACAGGGTAAAGATTTCTCTGCACGCCAGCACCCGCGATCCGCCTCTCCGATCGTCGGCGCGCGGTCCTCGGTAGCGCAGTCGGTAGCGTATCGGGCTACGGATCCAAGGGTCGTGGGTTCGAATCTTGGGAACGCCGAGTGATTTTGGCTAGAATTGAATGATGTAGATTCTTGAATGTTTGCATAATCAATTATTAACAGCTAATTGAATGTATCTACCCACTAATCGGCCCCTAAAACCTGTTATTTAAGAAATTTAAGAAATGAATGTAACGTGCGCGCCACGACTGCCAACCATGAGCGCTACCATATTCTAGTTTGAAGTAACTTTTTGCTAGTCCCGACCACATATAGTAGGTTTTCTAGTAGTTATACTAGAAATTCCTACCAAAGTTCGTCCTACCCTTCACTCAATATACCCTGCGATACACCGGTGCAGCTAAAAGCACAGTGCACACTCTTGCCTTTGCTTTCGCCCGCCGGCGATAGGCTGACTCCTCCAACTTCTTCACATTCTCTTTGAAAAGGAGCATGTCTCAAGAACCAATAGAACCGTGGGGCTCGTCCTCCCTTTGGAACAGGAGAGACCGGTCACTCCTCACACTAATCAGCGGATTTGACCTCTGTGAGGAGGTACTGGTCGCAGGCCAAAACAGGCCTGACATGGGTAAAACAGCCCCGATCAGACCTGCCTTACCCCGACCTGGACTGGCTACGATCGGCCGGAAGTGATGAGATAAGCAATTTTTATACAAATAAAAACCCAAAATACGTCGGAAATGACGCTTAATGACCGCAAATGTTATTCCAAATAAGTTGAAAGTATTTTCAAAAAAGTTGATTTTTTCCAAAACTGTCAACTTTGACCTCAATTCGCGACCCCTAAATATCAACATTTTTCAAAATCATTTTGCACACATTATTTTTTACGGGAATGGAACCAGAAAACCACCCGCACGCCTAAAAATCGGATAACATAAAATTCACCCTATTGCTAAGTGCCACCCATATATATATATATATATATATATATATATATATATATATATATATATATATATATATATATATATATATATATATATATATATATATATACACAAATGTTGTTAAATGCTACAGCGTTTTCAGTGTTCGTGATTTTTCGAGATGTTCGTTCGATGTTTCGTATGAGAGCGAGTCGATGTTTCATGTCCGGCGAGTACTTTTCTAAAGCTCATGATTGTAAGTAAATATATCCAAAGTTTAAGCATCTCTAAATCTCTTCTATTATTGTCGACGTTTCGTCACCCTTATGACATTTTCAAGACATTATACATACATGACATACAATTGCATACATATTTGTACAGAATTCATTCAAGTAATGCCAGTCATGGCTGCCACAAGATTAAACAATATTATTATCACAATTAATAGGTTTCTGATGACACGGGATGGAAAGGAAGTTCACAGAATTCAATGTCAAATTTGATTTTTCTTGTTTAAAAACATGCACATAACAAACGGTACCTTCTTCTACGAATGTGTTACATACAGTTGTGAGTAAACAATAAAGATTGAACAATGAGCATACATATACACAACAAGCAGGGTTCTTATTAAGGCTACCTGGTGCTCTGGTCTCTGGGGAGCCTAACTTAGGTCCTCCTTGGACCTAACGGCGTCCTCTCGAACAGCATGAGAGTGCCTCTAGCATTGACCTGTCGATTTATGGTGGGGTCACTGTCGCGAATGTGTATGGCCTCAAGTACATGTAGTTCTCTGACATTGTTGGATCTGTCGATGATGGTGGTGTTCTCAAGCATGAGTTGTCGAGTGAGCCGTTGGTCGTGGTATGTTTGTGTGTGTGTTTTTGGGCCGCCGCTTTGAAGGTGCATGGTGATGCGTCTGCTAAGAGATGTAGTGGTATGTCCAATGTATTTACAGTTTTGGCGGAGTGCACAGTCTCCGAGAGGACATTTGTAACTGTAAATGACGTTGGACTGTTTTAGCATAGTTTTGTCGCGTGTGGGATTGTTACTCATGATGAGAGAGCGGGACGTGGAATTCCGGTAAATCACTACGAGTTTTAGCCGCTCACCTGGGGCCACTGGTTTGCAGTGTCTCCTGACTATGTCTCGAAGGGCTTTTTCGTCGGCTTTGTACGCCGGGACAAACTTTTTTGGTAAAACAGCTTGTGTGTTGTGACACCTTCCGCGTGCTCATTTTTGTTTTTACCACTACTGATGCTGTGAATGTGGTTGTGGATTTTCTGAAGTTTGTCAAGCTCGTGATGATGAGGGAACAATGTATATAATTAATCATCTGTACCAGGGTGCAAGCTCCCCTACTTATGATGGCAAATAATAAAATCATTACAGGTTTTCAAAGGCCTCACCACTTTCAGTGTTGCTGGGCATCCTTTGCATGATTTTTACAGACTAGACTGCTTGTCAGAATGTAAGATTAAGCATTTAAAATTTTATATTTGAGCACTTAAGATTGCGCTTGAAATCTTACAGCCGTGGCCACAGCCGTAGCCGTGTTCTTGGAGATATTTGCAGCCGACCCGACTCACAGCCGTGGGACTGCAGTCAGCCGCGGCTGCAGCCGGCCGGTGCAGACCTCTAGCCACCGGCCAACAGATGGCGCGAAGGACGACGCTCGGCACACGACACACCAGTCACACTGGTGTGGGCCGAGCTCCGATCACAGCCAAAGGCTAACAGACGGCATGGCGAGCTGCACCGACACCACACCGGTCACAAGGGTGTGGTGGCGCAGAGGTTTTTCATGCACCAGCATACAGCGCTTTTCGAGGAGCGCTGTGGCCCGAAGGTTTTGACTTTGAATTGTGAAAAAACGTCCGCCCGCCGCAAAACGCAAACACCGCAAAACGCGCAAAACGCACGCCCGAAACACCAACGCAAACGTCGCAAACAAAAACGATAAACGCACGCCTGCCGCAAACCGCAAAAAAACGCAAAAACACCGCACAAAATAAAACCGCCCGCATCGCACGCCCGCTAACCACCACCGAAAACGCCTAAAAATCGCCCGCCCGCCGCCAAAAGCAAACACCGCAAAAAAGCGGGCGCCAACCGCAAACAAATTTAACACCGCAAACGACGCAAAAAACAAAACCGCCCGCATCGCTCACCCGCCCGCCGCCAAACACAAACACCGCAAAAAATGCCACTATTGCCTCTTTCAATTTTAAAGGTTATTTGAGTTTGCAATGATGTCAATAGCAAAAAAGTAGCAATTATTTTCTTGTTTGCCTTTAAATATCACTTAAAAATGATGATAAATTATATGTAGCGTAATTCAAATAATTGTAATACTAAAACAAAAGTTTAATATAACAAATTTTATATTAAATTTTGATATTTTTAGCTGAAGACGTCATTTCATCAGCAAAGCCAACGACTCGCGTAAGAAATATTGTGTTCAGAATTTTTAACGTCATTTGCATGAACAGAAAACAAGGTTTACGATGCCTATAGTCCGTTTTTTTAAGTTTGCCCTCGAGTCTGTAAGAGCATTTTTAAAAACAGCATGCGATTTGCA